AGGGGCACGGGGAAGGTTCCCACCACCATGGATGGTGAACAAGGAAGAAATGCGAGAAGAGGAGGGGAGAGGAAAAGGGAGAAGACTCATGAAACACTTGTCGCATCCATCCTCATCCATTCCCCTGATCATGAAGTAGCCTCGTAAACTTCTATTTCATTTTTGTAGAGTAAGAACGATGCCCCCCCCCCCCCCCCCGTCAATGGTGTAGACTCACACTAGGCCATGGTCGGCAAATCACATGGTGCAGGGGGGTAATGAACGGGAAATCTAAGGGCTCCTTTAAACCTGACTTTTAGCTTTTGAAGAGAGTCGTAAGTGCAACAATCAACCCCCTAGTCCGCGACATGGAGTGGTCTAAATCTGACAGGATTGTTTCATCACCCTCTAATCAGATGAGGGTCAATACCCGTGAATATTTGCAGACGACGTCTGGACGGATACATCTTCGAGACGTTGATCTTTACAAAATTGGGCTGTTTGTTTGATGTGATCTTTCAGCAGACGCTGACTTTTCCTCGGTCTCAGACCAGGGGGTGTTTCACAAGGATCTTAAGTTGAACTTATCTCTAAGTTGGACTAAACATTTATGGAAAGCCGTTAACATCTATAAAAATATTTTTAAAAAGCTATTTTAAAAGGCATAACATGTTGATTCAAATCCTTCATGCTTTTTATAATCAAGGAGATTTCAAGTTCTTGATGTGAAATTTATAAACAGTCTAAAATACTATAATTTTGCTTTAGAATATACTTTATTTTAAGGCTACAAATGGCTCTCCATAATTTTCAAGTCCAACTTAGAGTTAAGTTCGACTAAGGATCTTTGTGAAACACCCTTCCCCCCCCCCCCCCCACCCCCCCCCCCCCCCTCCTGGAGAAGAGATTTTGATTCTAACCATATTGAACATTTACTTTGAAGTGATCTTTCTCTGGACTCTTTTATTAATCTAAGGCTGTTTGTTTAATGTGATCATTCACCGGCCTCTGGTCTTTCTTCGATCAGAGACAGAAGAATAGGTTTTTTTACAACCAAATTGAGCTTTCTGACATTGACAATTGACATTTTCCTGTTCGAAGACAGGAGAAGCAAATTCGTTTTTAACCAAATGTAGTCGTTTGTTTGATGTGGTCCTTCACCGGATATCGCTACTCTACTCTAACATGTTATCCTTGATCGAAGAGAGAAGCGGATTTTGTTGTCAAAGGAGACACTGTTGGAAGACATATTGGTATTTGTCTGAAGTATTACATGTATTGGCTACCATGAACATTCTATACAGGCGGAATATATTATCATAATCATTTTGGAAGAATGTATTTGATCGGTTCTTAGTTTGCATGTGTTACAAAAGGACACCGAATATCCGCATATCTCATAAACATGGAGAAATCCCCTTTTATGCATGTTATACAATTCAATTTTAAGGTGATGGAAATGCGTTATGAATAAACATTAATTTCTTCCTTTGGTAAAACTTCACCCTTTGGTAAAACTTCACTCGTGCATCATGACGGAGATGAGAGTAAACATGGAACACACCGTTTATTTGAATGAATAATTATTACGTAACTTTTATGAGCATGTATCTATTCATCTTGGTGGGTGTACGATAAGCCTGTTTCATGTACTCCTCGTGAACAAAAATAGCTCTTGCTGACTCAGATGCTTGCCAGAGGCCTGCAGACAAAGCAACAGTTGATGTCTGCACTTCCGCGCTTCGCATCGACTTTCGACGCAAGAGCCTTACGCGTATCTTTCTTTAATATCGGAATCGATATTTCGCAATACGATAACCAATTGGCTTTTAGCGTATATGCGGCATCAGTGAAAAGGGACACATGTGATTGTTTATACTATCACTGCGACTGCCAAGCTATTCGATCTATCATTCGTAATGTGACTTCATTTGCAAGAATGCAAAATTCTCGGTATGTGGATATAATATCTACTACACCCTGTATCTTCATGATTTTTATCAGCCAAATCACACAAATCAGTTGCATGTCTAATATATCCATGATCTAAGCGAACAAGGGTACTTGACTATACCCGAACCCTAGGTAATGGATCAAAACATGACTTTCATAAGTTACAAGGGTAGGGCATCGATACAATGTTTGTTGTAATTGCTACTTTTTACTCATCTTCTTTTTGTAAGATCTCATTTTGCTTGATCCACTCTCGTATACATTATCGATGTCTCAAATCGGAATTAGCGAGAAACAGTTCACCGATGATACGCTTTTATAAGCAGCCCCTCGGAAATGATGACTTGATACCATATTTTACGCCCAGATCACGCCCGGTGAGAAGAGGCACGCTTCCTCCGTAATTGACAGTTTCGCAGAGCCATGGAACTACCTGGTATTCCTCAGCAACCGCCAAGGCACGATGTCTTTTAATGGGATTACGCCCGGAGGCGTATCTTAACTACCGCGGATTTTTCACGCGTCGATATTCATATTTCTCACCCTACCACTCTGACGGGGCATATCATTCGCGGGAAAAAATAGAAATGCAATTGAATCGGATCCGTGGCCCCTAAGGAAATAGGGGTATCACTTTGGTCGAATGGGGTATTTGGTGTCTTTCCTCCGACATCGGACTCTCACTTACCTTCACCGTGGCCTGTAGACGTCCCGACCCCTTGGGGAAAAGGGGCAAATGAATCTAGATGTAATCGCGCAGAGGTAGAGAACCCATCATGATTCGGGATCATCATCTTCAACTTTTAATATTTTCGCAAAAGACATAAAGACTACATTTTCTTGCAACAGTACAAGTGAGAGAACTAGAGTGTGTGACAAGTGTAATATTTACAAGGCATGTTTTAAACATGTACCTTTCATGTCGCATTGATGAAAAAGGAAAAAGAAGTGACAATAAAAAGTGCAGTTGTCCCTAGCCTCGACGTTTCAAAACGTAATAATTGGAAAATGATTGCTAGTATTCTTTATCAAGCTTTTCATTTCTATTACTTTCCACCGATCCTCTGAATCACTACGTGCATCATACAACATAAATCGAAATATTGTTCAGAAAGTGCATGGATTGGCAACGTATTGATTGCAGGTTATTAACAATACATATTTTTAAGTGCACCTGGAACTAGCTACACCGGAACCGCGAGTTAAACAGCAACCGGGAAATGAATACTCAATCGCATTGTATTTGGTGAATCCCCAATAAACCCAAAGGTATTGAATCAGATGATATTAAATTTCACGTTGTCTGCGTCAGTGTATGATTCAGTGCTTTAAAGAAAAAAAATAAGATACTGTCAGTTTATACCTTAGTCAAACCGCCAGTGTTTTCGAACCCGAACCACCGATTTCTGGTCATTCGGCGTGGTTATTGTTTCAGTTTAGTTTTGGATTCGTCTGTGTTATTGGGGTATTTTGCAACAAAGAAAAATGATTAGCGAATATACAAAAACCTTCGGTCATACGGCCAACCCGACTCTAATCCATCGATTCTTGTTTGTTTTGGGCAACGCAATTGTATTGCTCGGTTTCTTTTCGGTCTCTTTTCGGTCTCTTTTCGGTCTTTTTTCGATCTCGTGGCGGTCTGGTTTCGGGCCCATACATTTTGTAGTTTTGACCGGGATATCTGAGAACGTCAATGCGATTACTTAATATTATGCAGTTCCAGATTGATAATTGCGGGAAAATAAACAGAGTGACAACGAGGTAAAAGAAGGAGAGCTAAACGGTAAAGAATTGGGAGAGATAGACGGACTATTTCTATCTTTATGAAGAAATGACTCCATTTCCATTTAAAAGGGCGTAGATTCAAGGGTTTGACCATGGTTTTAACGAACCGAGATCCGCAATACAAAGCCTTTCTTTTTTTTAGGAGCTTTTTTTCTGTTCTGTATATACACATATACACACACACATGTACACAATACATAAACACACATACACACACACATATATCTTTTTTTTCTCTCTCTCTCTCTCTCTCTCTTTATGCTTAGAGCGATCTCAGGCTTTTTAGATCGAAAGATAAACACCAACAAACACTAAAGTGGCTTTTTCCATAAGCTAATTAATTTGCTCCATTTATAAATAATTTGCACCATTTATAATTAATTCCTCGTTCTCTACTCTGTGACCAATGAAGCCGAGAACGAGGAATAATCGGATAACAATGAAGGAATTTATTTTACTATTTTGTTTACGGTTGAGGTAAATTGAAACAACTATTTTGCTGTTTGGCTGAGAAATAAAAACGTAACCGAGGTTGGAACTAGAGAAGAGAAAGGTTAATCATTTTGTGTTAGATAAATATGGAGACTCATGAAAGTGAACAGTAAAAAAAAAAAAAAAAAACGTTAGAGAGCAATTCAAACACTTGTAATGAGTTCATTTGGTTGAAACAGAAAAACAAGATAAGCAGAATGGCAAAACTTTGAAATGAATCAGACCAATAGTGAGAAAGTTATAATCGTTTAATGAGATCGCTAAGTCTATGTGGGTCACAAATTGACAGTTTGTTCAGTGGATTGTGACGTAGTCACGGATAACTGACCCGTTTATTTGTTGGAAAAAATGGGAAACTGTCCGATACTACATCACAGAGACATTTGAAGAGCCCATACCATTACTGATTACACTTTTAATTCTTAAAATTAAAATTTTTCTCACTTTTTGTCCGATTTCATAAAGACTTTCACGAGTCTACTTTTAATTATTTTATAGTAATAAGACCGTCCTTGGTGGAAAGGAAAGTGAAGAAAACTAAGAAAGCGTATATGTTCAATTTGCCATGTGTCACTGAAACAAGTCACTGAACTCAAAAACTTCTCTTGATATTAAACCTAGGAATAACTGAGGTAAACCGTATCTTCAATTTTTTTAGCGAAAGCAATGCTAATACATAAGTCCTCATTAAAAAAAATTCATGTTTATCACCTAACACTGGAGTAAAATATGCTTTGATACAGCTAGGAAGAAAATCACAATACTTTTACATATTTCGTTTCTTTCATTAGGTATTACTGGGGTAAATCGCATCATCGACAAAGATGGCGATACCATTGCCAACGTGAGCGTCTTCTCAATCCAGAGAAACAGTTCGTCCGACATCGACTACGTCATCGATCCCGTCGCCATCTTCCAGGAACGCAACGGTACCACGGTAAGTCGAATGATCTTTTAAATGATCAAGGGTAATTCTTGAATGATCAGTCATTTCATGATGATACCAATTAGTTTGTATTATACCTGTTTATATTCTTGTGTATTTATCTATTTTGTTTTTGCTGCTGGTTATTATTTTATTCTTATCAAGCAGGGCCTCGTGGAAGACCACCACATTTCGGATATGCGCCACCGTGTATAAATATCAGAAATAAATAAATGTGAAGTGTTGCCAATTTCATGTCCATTTGAAATTGATATGGTTTCCATTCGCAAGTTCGTGCTTTGGTGTATTTTTTTCGGGGGATGTTTTTTTTTTTTAATTCAGTAAGTTAAGAAAAGACAGGTGAAGGTACATGTAGGTAATCCTTGTGAAGATGAAACACATTTACTAAAGGCCAAACCGATCAACTAGTTTCTCTTAAAACGGCAAGAACTGAAACCATGAGTAAGTGAGGCCAAATTGTTTATTAACTTCGTCCAGATAATTTCATTTACATGAATTACATGGTTATGAGATTCCTTTGACATATTTCTCATCCGACGGCACCTCCTATGTGTATTTTAGAAATGGAAATGATTTATAAATTCATACAGGTACAAACGCTCGGTAAAAGTACAATTTTGCTGCGTTTTGAAGGGAATTATGAATTCATATTCGTGGTCGAACGAGCTCACCTGACAATCTAGACCTGCATTCATAGGGTATGTTGAGCAAGAACACATTTTGCATACGACTGCAATCAATCATGGGCAATATTACTGTCTCTTTGAAGTATAGCGGTTTGGATTCAACCCTGTTTTGTCGGATGAACGGGTTAATTGACAGCAAGGCCATTTTAATGTTTGTAATAATATGAATAAGACGAGGTATCATATTCCGTTTGTTATTTTGTTTGTACTTTAACGGCATCATTTCACAATTCTTTTGGTGATACCCACAATGTTGTTTGTTTCATGTTGGGCTTTTTGTATCAAATATAAATACATACGTAAATTTTGTAAATACAAATAGACCAGTACTTTTAAAAAAAATTAAAACAAACATTTTTTTTAAATGGCGCAGCTTTTCCTAGAGATCCGGATCGTATCATGTACCCTCTTGTCATCAATTGGATATGCCCTCGTCTGATCTTTATAATGATTTTGGTCCTTCAACATAAACAATAGCAAATGCTTGCAAAGTATTGCGTGAGATATACCAAATATTGATCGCATTAAGAAAGCTGTCCAACTCACAAAGATTTGATTGAAGGACTATCTAAAGCTGTACTTTGCTTTAAGGGTCAACAAGAAGCCACATTTCATCATCATCGCTCATGGTGTCTTAGACTTTCCTCCTTATGACCTTGAACTTTGGACTTTCCCGATCGCTCACGTTGATACATCTTCCTTATGTTTTGTGGCGCCTCCTTACAACTGCACCAAACGATCACCATTCTGTTGTAAGCCAAATAACGATGTCGTTAAAATGGCGTGAGAAAAATGACTGTTACAAAGGTGGTGTATGTTAAAAATTAAAACGCATTTGGCAGTGCTTTCGTTTCTAAATGACATTATCGTGCTTCTACTGTGAAAGATAATAATACTTAATCTGATTATTAAAAAGAGAAGAAGATGCATTTACAGTAGATCGAACTTGCAGGCCCTGACATTTGGAACGCAATAATAATTCGTTATAAATTAGCACTTACCCCTTAACGAATGGCAGACATTGGTGTGTTTCCACGCACGCATATTCAGACCAAATGTATAAACAAATCAATATTTCATACGGCTGGAAAATATAATGCGGCAATCTGAAAGCCTGCATTGTTCCAAATGGTCGATTAATGAGTCAATGGCAAAGTACTTCTATTTGTATACGCAATATCACATTATCGTTGTTCAAGGGTTATTAATCATGTAAACGGCAATGCGTCAATGATTATTGCTTTACCAAACAATGGCGTGTCCCACAGGGCTACTTATTATGACCAATCGTGTTTCTCCTTCAATTCCAACGATATTACCTGAAAGTAAACATTGAACAATGTACCTGCCAAGCGGCACAAGCGACAAATTGATGGTATAAATGATGAGAGTGCAAATCGTATCATCAGTAAAAAAATAAGTATCAATTTACTCCATTTACATTCACAATTATCGATGCCAAATAAAGGTAAAATGAACCTGTGGCTGATGGATCATAAATTGAAATGTTTTGTATTAGCTCAAAGTACGAATACTTGCAAACTCTCAGATGGGATATGAGTTGGCACGCATGGACCTGTAAATCAAGCTGCATTTGAATAGTTTGTGCTATATCGGTATGTTTTGCAAGAGCCTGATTGGATCATCGAATACAGATGCCAGATCTCTGGAGGAATCCTTGAAAACAGATGCTAATCATTTGAAAGGATGCCTTAATCAACTTGTTGACAAGATAATTTGCGACATTACACAAGGACAGAGTTATGCAGAAGGGTTGTATGAATCGATGACGGCAATATGTTTGACATTCACATAAACGATGAATTTCAGAGAACCATTTCTAGCAGATCTTCGTAGAACCTGATAAACCGTTTCAATCTTTACAAGCTTTGTCGTTTACGACCGAATGTGTTGGTTTCCCTGGTGGTTATTCTTTTTCCTTGAAAGTCCCTTTCTAAGCAGTTGCGTCGTTTTCGGTTCAATATTCGTTTCTTCTCTTACTCTTTAATACATTGGTTGCTATTTATATCCTTAGGCTTTGATTTTTGAACGTTTCGTCTTGTTTGGTTTATCATTTTTATTATTACTTCTTGCTACACTTGTGTCATTCCTTGAAATTCAATTTCTAAGCACGACAGATGAGGCTTGTTCTGTTAAACGGTTGTATTCCTACCTTTTTGATACAGTGGTTTCGGTTTGAATCCTTGTAATTCGATATCACAATACTTTTGTTTCGCCTTGTTGCGTTTATCGTTTTCATTTCTCCATTCTTTTATAGTGGTTAATATTTTAGTTATTGCAGTTAGATTTCTGAGCAGTTAACTTTGGCCTTGTCTTATTTATTGTCTTCATGTTTATCTTCTGGTACACTTATTCCTGTTTCATTCCTTGGAATTCAATTTCAAAGCATTTTAGTTTCGCCTCGTTGCGTTTATCGTTTGCATTCTTTAATAATAAGCGTTTTTTATTTCGTTAATATTTTTAGTACCCTGTTGCTGTTTTCTGTACATCGTTCATGAATTTCAATTTCTGAACATTTCAGTTTCGCCTTGTTGCCTTCGTCGATTGACCTTCTTGATTTACTCATCGCTTCTCCATCACAAATGGATTTCACAGACTAAACATTTCGGGCAAAACGAGCTCCGTTGATTATTTGTCCCATATACAACATGCAATTATGATTAGGAATCTCAATGTTCTGATGATTGCCTAGATACGTAAACAGATTAAACCGTACCATCTGCCATCGGTATTGAGCTAATGTCGGCGAGTACCCGACCCTAATAACTCACATGCCCGGTTGTCATCAGGAGAAACGGAGATAAATAGCGCAAGCTGAAGGAAAATGGCGGTCTGTCTGTGTGTGTGTGTGTGTCTGTGTGTGTGCAGATCATTACGCAAGTGGCAAGAATCTTAACCTAAGCGTAAACAATAAATTCATCTTTCCTTCGCCGTGTCCACTGGCAGGTTGTTTTAGTGATGCGTAAATAATGTCTTCCACGTCGCTGACCATCATCATATAACGATGAATTATCTATATTTTCCGGTCGACCTATTACTAAAGATTTATCGCAGTTTTCTGTTTTCTTGCAGGACTTAGTATAGATTCAGCTGAATTTTATTGCAGCAGATGCGTTATATTATTATATAATTATATCAAAATTATTATATAGATCTTTATACCATGCCTTTTGATGTTTCGGCATTTCAAGATGACCACGGTCATTACTAGTTCATTCTTTAGATGTTTCTTTTTAGCTTTCCTTTTGACAACTTTTCACCTTTTACGTTGTGTCACCAAGTACGTATAATTTATTTTACTGAAAAAAACAAATAAGGTCTCGCATATCACTATATTTTATAGTCTTTTTACCAAATGTCTCAAAGTGTGTTGTAGTGCAATATTTACATGGTTTAAAGGCATCACTTAACAATGTTAAATCTAAGATGCACGGCCCTGCTTCAAAAAAGTAAAAATCTTTGAGTAACCGGTTTTACCATACTCGTTTTCCCTAATAGACTGTAGTGTTATGAAAACGCAACATTTGGTTTCGATTTCTAATCATAAATATCTTGATAATCAGACAGGTGATCGGCTTGTAAAGGTCATTGGGTTCCTGACTGACCTAAAGGTTCGTAATTATCATTGCAGCATGAGCTAGATTTTGTTTCAGAATCTGAGACAAAGTTACCGGATCCCTTTAAATATTTTATTATGTAACACTTTAAAAGCATTTCATCAAAGTTAGAAAAACTATACCCGTGATAAAAAAGTTGAGATTTTGAACTGTTTCATTTGCCTACAGAAACCCATGGCAAGACGTTACGTAATCATGCTAATAAAAAAACGTATATTCTGAAAAGCTTTATAACTTTCTTGTCTGGATACTTTAAGAGAAAAATCCATTGCCAATCAATGTTTATAACACACTGACATCCTGAATCAAAGCTACATGTACCTGATTTTTCAGGAAACGTTTTTCGCAAATCTCACGGAACATTTCTCGATACAGGAAGATTGGTTGAACCTACGGGTGTGATATGTCGTCATTGGTTGCTCCTCTATCTTAGGAAGACATAATTGATTATCATAGACAATAACTGAAACGGGAATGATGAAACGTTTCTCTACTGTAAGATGTGGGTGTTGTAAAGCTGCAGATATAAGCCAAAAAGAGAATAAATCATTGGATGCAGTGAGTGAAAGTATTTTTCACTTATTAATTCACATTAACTTCTAGGAATATTATTATTAATTACTGATTAATGAATTCGCCAGCAGCAAATGAAAAAAATCACGATAAA